CAAGGTAACCACGAGTTATGTACAAACTACAACAAGAAGAGATCCTTGCTATTTATAAAGAAAGATTAAAATAACTTGGGTATGAGTTGGGAATAAGGAAAGTATGGGCCCTGCTAGTACTTGTCTTAAGTGCAGATTTTAACATAAAATTAGAAGCAAGGCAAGTTCGTACTAATAAGTTAATAAATTCTTATTAAATATATTAAGTCTTATAAAAAATTATCAAATACTATAAACACTCGAAAAGTTTTAATAACGAGCGAGATATGAAGCGGTACAAAAGCTCACCTAGCATCCTAAAAGCTCACTAAGGACCTCACACTTCGCTTTGGCACATCGGCGGTCAACTTTCTTAAGGCTGAGCGAACCTCACTTTTTAAAAATTTACTGTAAACCTCATGTGTGACTTTAGTAATACTGCCAGATGCCCAACTTAGCTATTTATATAAAGAATGCTTATTTTAAGGCCTCAGGTTAACGTTGTATGTAATGAAAAGAAAAAATTGCAGAGTTATAATAGAGGAAGGCGATGAAGTTATTCCGGAAACTCCGGAAAAAATAAAGTTTATTTTTGAACAGTTAATATTAAACTGTTTTTTTATTCCTTTGTTATAGTCGCAAAAAGGGACATATGTGGAGCCAGAATTTAACTAAGTGCCATCTTAATATAGATAGAGAATCCTTTTCAAGCGAAAGCGATCATGATCTTTTTACTTACCCAGTTAAGGCGAGATTATTAAACGGGGAACCAGAAGTTGTAATATTGCTCGTTTACTGTATTAAATAGTTTACTATTACTTCTTAAGGCCAAGAGAAGTTATCAAGTTATTGACTCCGACTCTGTTTCAGACTGCTTTGAGGTAGAAACAGCCAGCTATAACAGCTGCACTGCCTTAAACACTCGACTTGTTGACAGCTCTAAGAAGTTTAGAGATTCTAGTACAAACTTTATTAAAGATAGAGTTTTCCGTCTTGAAGACTTTACTTTAGATTTTAAAAGTAAAAAAGAACTCTCCCTAGAAGTTCAACATCTTGTAGACATGTTTCCACAGTTTACTAAAAAGTACATTAGAAAAATATTGTATGAAAAAGGGAGCATAGAAAAAGCGGTCACCTTCCTTTTAAACCTTGATCCGGAAGCTAAAGAGGGTAATTGCCTTTTTTCTTACCAATGTAAAGTTTATAACTTTATTTAAAAAAAATAAAAGATGCTCTAGGATCCAATGAGATTGCTGTTCATAGCTCTTCCTGGATTCGTTGTACATTAACTTTTTTGAATTTTATATTATTATTATGCTGTACGAAAGGGTCTGGCATCCAAAGCAACGAAGAGAAGGTTGTGTCTTTTTTTCAAAGCTCTTCCGAGGCTCTTTTACGTCGGCTCCCGTCTTGCTCAGAAAAGCGAGCCCGTCTTATAATAAGCCTTCGTCCTTTTAAGAACTATGATGATCTTGTTTGTTATTACTCTTTCTTGCGTATAGTTCTTTTGTAGTTTTTATGGCTTATATACATAAGATTAGTAAACTGGAAGAAACTAAAGGTGTTTCTGAAGGCCTCGTTAAGAGCTATAACGAACTTCTTGCGAGTCTTTCTGCGGTGGATCTCGTCATCAGGAGGTTGAACAATTCTTCCGATCGGCAAATTTGTGTTTGATTTTTTTAACTAATTTTTTTTTAGATGTATAAAAACTTCAGAAAAGATGAAAAACGAACTCAAACAATTAACGTGCGAATTTCCAACGTACTTTTTTTCTCGATATTATTTTTATTTCTTTATAAGTTTTTTATTGTCATAGGAGGTTCCAGCAGTACAAAGGTCGCACAGGAAATGTACTTAAACCTTATCAAGTTTCGGGTAATTAATTTTATTAACAAAGTAAATCTTATTTAACGCTTAAATAGTGGGCACACGTATAGTGCCTTAGGTTAATTGATATTTCACTGCTGTGTATATCATACTTTAGTTAATTAATATAATAGCCTTGTAAATCCCAAAGAAAGATTAATGGGTTGTAGTTAGAGTTTTGTGTAATATTTTCTACTTTACCGGTGTAAATTTTTGATTTAATTTTTCCTGCTCTTACAACTTTTAGGAGTTAACTGGATGTATTTGCTTTACAGAAGTAAAGCGGGTGGAATTCTTGCCGATGAAATGGTCCATTTTTTTTTGCTGCTCTTGTTAGTCCTTCTCTGTCACATATGAGAAAGGGACTGGGAAAGACGGTGCAGGCGCTTTCCTTTTTAAGCACCGTAACGCGTGAGCAAGGAGCACCCGTCCTGCATCTGGTGGTCGTCCCCCCCTCTACTGCCGGTTTGGTTTTTACTGTTTAATATCCTTGTATATTTCACCGCTTCAAAGATAATTGGATGCGCGAAGCTCACAAGTGGTGCACAGGGATCTGCGTTCTGCCGCTCTTCGGTGAGTACTTGTATTTTTTTATCAAAAAAATAATTCTTTATGGAATAGGAAGTTTAAAGGAACGTCAAGAGACCGAAAAAAAGGTCGAATCTTCGAAAGAAAGTGTGCTCGTCATCACAACGTGGGTTGCCTTACGCTGCTGCATTTTCGGCCGTCGCTGCTTCATTTCTTTTTTTTTTATAGATACAATGCTTGTTTGTCTAAACATAATTATCCCTTTTTGAAAAAGAAGAAATTTCTATGTGTGATTTTTGACGAGGGCCATCTTCTGAAGAATATGAGCACCATGCGATTCCGCCGGCTCTTCAAAATGGAGGTCTCAACATTCTTATTGTTGGTTATTCGATCCACATGTTTAAAGCTTCAATATAGAGCGCCTGCAGAATCCTCTTAACTGGAACTCCGCTGCAGAACAATTTGCTCGAGCTCGTGTCTTTGCTTTACTTTGTTGTTCCCGATCTTTTCGGAGATGAGTCCGAGAAGATTACTTCGTTGTTTTCAGGTATTCCTTTTTTTAAAAGAACGCCTCTTGTGCTTATATTTTCCTTCCGTCAAGGCAGCGCGGCTTACTCGAGCGGCAAGAATACCGAAGAGGGTCTGGAAGAAGAGCTGGATCTGGTACAGCGAGCCCGGACAATCATGCGCCCATTTGTTCTCAGAAGACGCAAAGAAGACGTTTGCTAAATATCTCATGCACTGTGCTTACATACAACACAAGTCTTTTTTTCTTTTTTAAGGTTTTGAACGATTTGCCCGAAAAAACTGAAACGGTGATTCTGTGCGATATGTCAGCTAGCCAGGAGCAACTGTACTACAGCCTAATAGAGTATGCCAGAAGGGATGGTGAATAAAAAAGTCATGGAAACGCGCTTCTCCTTTTTTAAAACATTTTTTTAGAGCGAGGCAACGTGAATAATATTTTAATGCAGCTGCGAAAAGCAGCTAACCACCCGCTTCTGCACCGGCATAATTATTCCTCAGACAAACTGAGACACATGGCTATCGCTCTGCAGAAGGTCGATAAAATCCGCGTATTATGTTTATGGGACCGTTGAGCACATGTACTATTGTAGCACAATGAATATAAAGAAAGTGACGCCGCGCTTGTAACAGAAGACATGGAAGTGATGACTGACTTTGAGCTGCACAGCCTCTGCTCTAATTGGAGTGTTCAACTGCTTCTCGGCTGGCTCGTGTTCTTTTTTTTGATCCTTTGGATCTTATAGGCGCTGGACGCCTTCAAATTGGATGCGCATGTTTTATTCGACTCTGGAAAATTTTCATACCTGGAAGAAACACTTCCTGTTTTTAAGCAGCAGGTTTCTTATCTTTTATTTTGCTTATAAAGTTTATTAATATTTCTGTTTTGAGAATGATCGCGTGATTATTTTCTCGCAGTTTACAATGATGCTCGATATACTCGAGTACTACTTGAAGGAGAGAGGTTCCTTCTACTTTTATAATCAAGCGGATTTTGCTATTTAGTTCTTCGCAGAGATGAAATTCCTACGTCTTGACGGAAACACAGCCGTGGAGGAGAGGCAGAGCTTTTTTTTTTTAGGTTTTCCTTTTGTTAAGCATCTTATGAATTAGACAAAAGCTCCTTGACAGCTTCTTCGAAGATTTGGACATCTTCGTCTTGCTGGCCTCCACTAAGGCGGGTCGGGCTTGCTGCGTTTCCTTTTTGCACCTATCTTAGCGTCACCGCACAGGGGGCGTCGGACTGAACATCACCGCCGCCAACGTGGTGATTCTGCATGACCTCGACTTCAACCCTCACAACGATGCGCAGGCATGCAGTCGTGTCCATCGTGTCGGCCAGGACAAGTTAGTGGAGCCCAAGAGGCCATGCTTACGGGCGTTGCCACGCTCCCTCATTGTTCCTTTGCTCTCTGTAGGCCAGTGAAGATCATTAAGCTTATTAGCAAAAACACGGTGGAGAGCATCATCCACGAGCGGGCCGCTACGAAACTCGCTCTCGAGTCTAAAATGAAGCAGTGTTACTCCAACGAGGTTCGACTCCGAGCCTTTTTATTATTATTTGTACGCACCCCCTCTTGTTAGAACGAACTTAAGGAATTTGTGAGGCTGGCTTGTGTACAGACGCCTTCTCGCGCTCGTGGTGCCAGACGTTTTGCTTGAGCTCAAATTTTTAAACAATAATTTTTTAGCTGAATATTAAATTTTTATACAAAAAGATTTATTACTCAGTTTTAAAATGTTGTACTATTAAGAAAAATTGTGATATTGTTTATATTCAAGTTAATTGACAACGGATTTCTTTTAATATAATTTTTATACAATTACTCAAAACCTCACCGTTGCCTTATATAATATTTCTCATTACTGCTTTACTATTTCACTGATGAAGAGGTGGGCCAGCCACTGTTTGTATGCTAATCCATATTGTTTACTTGTAATATTTTTCGAGAAAATAAAAATTTGCAGGTTTAAAGCTTTGCTCAGTAGGTATGTTTAATAGATAAATTGAACCTTATTTACATGACTCTCTAGGATTTGGAAAGACTAGTTAAGATGAAATAGTTAAACATTAGTATACTTATACATTACCCTATCTGACGCTCTCCACCAAGCATAGCCACAAAAACCTTTTAATCTCGTTATCATCTGGGTATTAAATAAGATGCTTGGCTTTTTAAAAATGTAAGCAAAAAATTGGGATGCGAGAGATTTTTATTACAATAAAAGCTTTCTTTTTTACCATATAAACCACAGTTTTCTCTTAAAAAGGCCAAGGATTAAGTATAGAATTCATGTAGAACTTGTCAATAAAGCTATCAGAAAGGATTAAAGTCTATTAACGTTAATAAAAGGTGAGCATCGGTCCTATAGTGGACCCCTCTTAATAGATGTTTTTAGAAGTTTTCCATTAGCTTAAACAGAGGCGTGAGTCCGTATTCGATATTCCTCCCAACTCCTCGGTACAAAAAAATAATTTTTTTGAGAGAAGTAACACGATGGGCCTTGCGCCCCATGCCCCGACTAAATAGTTTTGCACTCGATAAAACTGGGCATCTGCAAAAAAAATTTTAACAAAAAAATATTATATTTTTTGTACACTTAATGAAAACCTGTTTTTTGGGTACTGGTAATTTAATTGTGTCAGTTGTTAACTTTGCTTGTGATTACCTCTTATTTGTAAACTTTAATGCATTTATTATTCTTAAGTACTTTTTTGAGAATTTGAGTTAAATATAAAAACCCATTATTTTTGTTAATCGCAATGGATGGTGAAAATGACGAAGTAGTACAAAGTTGGATTACAGATAAGCCCTCCGTAGTGTATTATGATATATTATCATCTATATTATATTACAACCATTATTTCATATTTAGCGATTGTCAAGCGGATAGTAATGTTTTTTTGCCAAGTGTATTATAGCCTTGTTGACTTCTTAGCAGGTAAAAATACAACTCAAAAAACATAGTTATATTTATATAAGTATGCAAATAATTTTGGAAATAACCTTGCAGTGTTTAATCTGACAGCATTTTAGATTATCTTGCCCTAACTAGTTAAAACCTGAATTGCCATTTTTTTAAAGGAATATTGTAATCAACATGCGTTAGGATTGTTTTTTCTACGTACTGAGAAGTGGACTGCCTCCACAAGGTCTCCCCGTCGATTTTATTTATGTTAACAATATTAGATTGTTATTGAGGTTGCATTTAATAAACATAATAAAGAACTTTTGGAGGTTTCTTTTTAAAAAAACCATAATGGAAAAGAATTAAAATTATTATATAACGGTCGCAAATTTACTAATTGGTATCAAAACAAAATTGAAGTTATAAAATAACTAACCAGCCCCCACTAATCAAATGAGTCTTGCCACCTCTCATGTCGTGGTTAGTAATGTTAACCTTTGCCCAGTTAAGGCGAGCTTCCGGGCCATTTTCTTTACATTTATGTCTCTATATTTTTTTAAAATTAGATTTACAAGTTGATGCTGTGTAGAGCTGTATATGTCAGTTGACGAATATATAAAGCATCAATTAGTAAAATCTAATTTAAAAAATATATAGATATTAATGTTTTGAAAAGAATCCAACGTTTAGTTTAGTTGCTACGTGTGGTCACTTAAGTATAGTTTTATCAAAACATTAAAGAAAATTCTGTTATTATCATAAAAGTTACTTAAACTTCGCAAACCTGAGTTGTATTTTGGTGAAGATTTTTGGTGATAATCATTATTAGTTCCTCTTATTTATCTCTCAGCCAGGAGTAGTTACTGTTATGACCCCTGGATCGTAAGGTTCTCTGAAAATAGTAAGCTGAGGTAATCGAACATAAAAGTGAACAAATAAAGCTGTGCTCAGACAAGAAAGGAATTAAAAACCAAGAGCTGGAAATAAAAATAGAACTTAGAAACTGGGAACAGTATATAAAAAGGGAACTTAAAGACCGCTTTATTATAAAGTAAATAACAGGGTCAGATCCTTACTTTAGGTAGCAAGCCTTAAGTTGCTGTTTACTTGCTAAAACCGCAAATATAATAAGGACGATATAGAAAATGCATTGGTTGCAACGTTGAGAATCGAGCTATCAAAGCTTTATTATCGGTGGAACTCTTATTAACCTGAACTTGTTATCTATTGTTACTTCTTAAGGTATGACTGAATTAACGACTTCCTCCAAAATGATTTTGATCTAGCGGTGATTCGATTCGGACATTCTGCTTCAAGTGGCCCCTGTCTTAATCCGGCCATGTAAAATCCTTAGTTGCGAATGATTATTATAGCTGAATCGCCTACCATCCACCAATTTTTTTGTTTTAAGTTACGAAGGAAATATTCTTATTACCTTTGTGAAAACCTTAAGAGATATGCTTAAATTTACTGTTCTGTTGTTTTTAATAAAATACTAGGTGTCTTCATGTACCTCGGTACCTTTCCAGCTTTTATCATTTAATATTTTAGAGCCCTTAGATGTGAGTACGTGAGCACTGTTTTATAACCTAACTTCACCTCGCTTATGATAAAGAGGTTTTATTGTGTTTATTCTTAATAAAGCTTAGTTAATCTTTTTCTACTCCCACAATTTAGTATAGTTTTGTTTAAATTTCTATGTTATTGCCATATAAGTTTTTTACAATAATTCTGTTTTTGTTATTACTTAAAAGTTTTAATATCTCTGCTGCTTATAAAATACCCTGCCTTCTCTTTACAGGTATTAATCCTGTAGCATCACTACTAAAAAGGTAGACTGCTTCAATTTATCAAATCTTTAACCAACTTCAGTATTATTATTTTATATAATAAGCTATACTTTAAAAAAGGACCTCATGAAACTTAGTTGTTAATTCATTAGAAATATTATAAAAGGTAAGGAGAAAATGAGTGTAGGGAGTGCTCGTTTCCTTGGTCTATTATATACTAATGCGAAGACTGTGCATTTAAATATAAAATATATGGACCACACGTGAGCTGACCACTTTAAACATAACTTTTTCCAAGTTAGTGGACTATTTTATGATCATTAGGTTTAACTAATTGTTTTAACAAGAATTTGAAAATTAGTTAAGCTATGATAAACTAATTAAATGTCCTCTAATAATTAATATATCAAAAATTAAATCATATTTTAAAACACCACTTCTAAATCGCAGGAGAAATTAAGTAAACGACTAACTTAACATCTAAACTCCTCTTCACCCAAAGTTGCGTATAAGTTTAAATAACCAACAAAAAATTCCGTTAATTAATAATTATTCTTTGATACACATTTAAAGTAACAAACGTTTTTAATTTTTTAAGAACCACTATTCTTTAGATCTTCGTTATTTAGAACAAAGTGAAGGTTAAATGATATACGTAATGCATAATGATAAAAAAATTATTTGATATAACCAATAAAGCTCTATACGTTTACATTTAAGTGTAATAAATTAAGTCTAAACTCAAAAAAAAATTATTTTTTACTAATGGACAACTACAATTTTTTTTAAGTACACATCACTCACTATTTTCCGGTTACTAGTACTTAACAATTTTTTCTCTTTTTACTTTATATTTAGTGAGCCAGGCAATTATATTTAATAAAATTATAATACTTTTATCACCTACATCTAAATAATTTTTTTTTTTTTTAACTTTTAAATATGGACTCTGACTGGGTAAAAAAAAATGAAATGAATGCGAGGGATAAAAATTTTTAACTACAATAGAATGATGGATCCAACCCAACGTCATTAAACAATAGTGATGCAAAAAATTGATTATTATTTAAGGAAAATAGATTACAGCCGCAGTGTATATAGAAGATGATATTGGCTTTTTTCTTGTTAAGTCTCTCATTTTTGTTATCTAGGGTTCACCTTCAACCCGAAAAAGAATGTAAGCTAATAGCTGATGTAGCCTTTATTATCGACAAAAGTTCCTCCATTGCCCATTCTTACGAAGAAGGAAAGTGGGTTGACAACGTTACTGTCGCCAAAGAACGCATTAAACTTGTAAAAGAATATATTTTCAGAATTGTTGATATACTTCCCCTCAGTAAAAATCAAACGCGTGCTACAATTGTTGCCTTTAATTATGACTATAATATTTCGAACACCTTTAAAAAAAGATCGTCCTACGATAACCAAAAATTTAAAAATCTTCTTCAAAGGGTTGAGTACACAGAATACGATTCAATTCAAACCACATTCCTTGGTAAAACATTAAGAGCAGTTAATGATACCCTGTTTGGGAAAAGGTCGCCCAAACGTGAAAACGCACTCAAAATGCTAATAGTGATAAGTGATGGAACATCAGCAGATATTGGAGAAGATGAAGTAGCAGGTGTAACTTCTAAGCTACGAGAAATGGTAAATCCTTTTATTATTGTTGCTTTTGGTATTGGAAACGTTTGGAAACAGGGTTTGGAAGAAATAACAGGAGACAAAAAATTAATATTTAGCGCTTCCTCTTCTGAAGAAATGGACGGACAACTTGTAAATTTTTTAGATAAAATTTGCAATATAGATTGTGATATGACATCTCGGACGCCCTGGAGCGAGTGTACAATAGCTGATAATGAGGTATTTGAAGATCAAGTTTGGAGAAGAAAAGTTATAAAAGCTCCTCGAATATATGGTCAAAGATGCTATCCTCTTGAGAAAGAAGTTCCTTGTACCGCCACAGCTATTAAAGATAAGGATGGATGGGAAAAATT